ATAAATGTCACAAGGAAGGACATTGGGAACGTAAATGTCGTTCTAAAGCAGTGAGAGAAGTCACAAGTGAACAACCTGGACTAACATACTTCCTAGGAGCAGTTGACAGGGAGGATAATGAGAATACATGGACTGTTTGCTTACCTGTAAACAATGTGGGTGTAACCTTTAAAATTGACACAGGAGCGGACGCTACCATTATTGATGAGGGGACATTCAAAAAGATGAGTCCTAAAATAAAGCTCGAGCCACCTGTCACTCGTTTTGTTAGCCCAGGGGGCGATCTCAGTTGCATGGGCATGTTCCAGAGTTTCACAAGCTATAAAGGGAGGAAGTACCCTCTGAAAGTGTATGTGACTGAAGGAAAAAGCTGCTTACTGGGCCGTGAGGAAGCAGTGGAAATGGGTCTAGTCAAGAGGATGAATGAGGTCAGTAGCGTGTTTGGATCTAGCGGGTTATTGAAAACTGAGCCAGTCAGAATAGCCCTGCTCGATGATGTCCAACCATACGCAGTGCCGACAGCCAGGCGGATACCCCTGCCACTGGTACCGCTGGTAAAAAAGGAACTGCATCGCATGGAGGAGGAGGGCATAATCGAAAAGGTAACACAGCCAACAGAATGGTGTGCCGCGATGGTGCCGGTACTCAAACCCAACAAAAGGGAAGTCCGCCTTTGTGCAGACCTCAGGAAACTGAACAAAGCAGTGAAACGGGAGAAGTATGTTCTGCCAACGGTGGAGGAAATAATGCCAAAGCTCGCCGGGTCAAAAGTATTCACCTCGCTGGATGCAGCAAGTGGATTTTATCAGATCCCCCTGCATGAGGAGAGCAGGTTGCTCACCACTTTCATCACTCCATTTGGGAGATACGCCTTCCGCCGTCTCCCTTTCGGGATAACAAGTGCTCCTGAAATTTTCCAGAGGAAAATGGCGGAGACTCTGGCCGGCTTAGAAGGGACTGAGATCTTTATGGATGACATTTTAATTCACGCAGAGACAGAGGAGCAACATGACCGACGCCTGGCTGAGGTGTTGAGGGTCATTGAAGCAGCAGGGCTCAAGTTGAACCAGGCAAAGTGCAAGTTCAGACAGAGGCAGGTTCGTTTCCTGGGTCACTTAATCGACGAGGCGGGCGTCAGAGCCGACCCCAACAAAGTCACAGGAATACGGAACTTTCCACAGCCACAAAACGTCACAGAACTCAAAAGGTTCTTGGGGATGGTTAATTATTTAGCCAAGTTCATTCCAGAGCTATCAACAGTGGCTCACCCACTGTACGAGTTACTGAAAGGAGACAAAGAGTGGATGTGGGGACCTGCACAGTGTGAGGCGTTCAGGAGCTTAAAGACTGCATTAGCCACAGCTCCAGTACTTACCTTCTACGATGCCAACAAGCCCACTATAGTGTCAGCAGATGCCAGCAGCTATGGGCTGGGCGGCGTTCTACTCCAGCAGCACGGGGATCACTGGAAGCCTGTGGCCTACTGCTCCAGACGGTTAAGTGACGCGGAGAAAAGATACGCGCAAATAGAGAAGGAGTGCTTAGCAAGTGTGTGGTCCTGTGAACGGTTTGACAAATACCTATATGGACTGGACGGCTTTAGACTGGTTACTGATCACAAGCCGTTGGTGCCTCTCATGAACAGTAAAGACTTAGACTGTGTCCCAATTAGGTGCCAGAGGCTATTGATGAGACTAATGCGTTTCAATGCTACGGCTGAGCATGCACCAGGCAAAACATTAGCGGTGGCAGATGCGCTCTCTAGAAGCCCAGAGCAATGTTTGGGGGATGGGGTCTGTCACGAGGAGGTGGCCGCACATATCGAGGCTGTCATGAGCCAGGTCCCGGCCACACCACACCGGATGGCGGAGCTTAGACAGTACACAGAATATGATAGACAGCTCCAGACAGTCATAGGCTTCATCAGGAATGGGTGGCCTGATTATATAGGAAAGGTGCCTGAGGTAGTCAAAGACTTCTACCAAATGAGAGGAGAACTATCTGAGATAGATGGTTTGGTCATTAGAGGCAACCGCCTTGTCATTCCCACAGAAAAAAGGAAGGCCATCCTGGAGAGAATCCATGACGGACATCAAGGCCTGGTAAAGTGCAGAGAAAGAGCTCACCAATCCGTATGGTGGCCTGGAATGTCTGGTGAGATCGAAAAAACTGTACAAGAGTGTGCGTTTTGTAGAGAGAACAGAAACACACAAAATAAGGAGCCGTTAATGCCCAGCGAACTCCCATCTAGGCCATGGCAGAAAGTTGGGGTAGATCTGTGCGAGTTTAAGAAGCAAAACTACTTAATAGTATCAGATTATTACTCTAGATATCTGGAGATTTTGAATCTGCCTACAACTACCACCAGCCAGGTTGTAGCTAAGCTGAAAGCCACATTCGCACGTTTTGGCATCCCTGAAGTAATGGTGAGCGACAATGGGCCCCAGCTATCTTCAGAAGAGATGAGGGAGTTTAGTGAGGAATATGATTTTGTTCACATTACATCCAGCCCTCACTACCCTCAAAGTAACGGACAGGCAGAGCGGGCCGTTCAGGTAGCGAAATCTATACTGAGACAGAAGGACCCCCTCCTGGCCCTGATGGCATACCGAGCCACACCCACCTCTTCGACAGGAGTCAGTCCAGCAGAACTGCTGATGGGCAGGAAAATCAGGACCACCTTGCCCACCTTGCAGGACAATCTGAAACCAAACTGGCCGAATGAAGAGGTGATCAGACAGGCTGACGCTGCAGCCAAGCAAAAGCAAGCTTATTACTATAATCGCAGGAATGGAGTAAGGGTTCTACCCCCACTGAGCCTAGGGGACCCGGTGCTAACAAAGTTGGATGGACAAAAACAGTGGACAATGCCTGCTGTCGTTCACAGTTCCAGCTCTACTCCAAGGTCCTATATCGTGGAGACAGCACAGGGACAGCGCTACAGGAGGAACCGACGACACCTGCAATCCACACCCAAACCGATCACAACTGTCAGTGAAAGCCCTGACCAAGTTGCCCCTGAGGTCAGGAAAACTGAGGACACGCACGGTACTGAGACACAAAACACTTCCACACCCACACAAGGGACTGTAACCATCACTCGCTCAGGGAGAGTGAGCAAAGCCCCAGACAAACTGGACTGGTGATTATGGACTCTTGATTGAATAGACCTGAAAAAAAAAAAAAAAAAAAAAAAAATAAAAAAAAAAATAAAAAAAAAATAAATGGTCGATTTGTTGTGGATTTATAGTATGTTTCAGGAAATGCACTTTATTGTTTGAAAAAAAAAGTGTGAAAAAAATGGTTCTGTTCATTAGCCTTCATTGGGGTTAGAAGTTAACAAGACAGTTTAGTCTTATAAGAAACATTGTTAATATACTGAAAGTGTTTATTGCTTATAATAACAGTTCATGTTAACTAAGAAGAGCAATATCTTTGAGGGGGGAGATGTAATGACAGGTGTTGACCTAGAGGTGTCAGTGTTCTAGCGGGGATCATAGAGGGCCGAAGAAGAGACATACGGGAGGTGTTGGGTTGTTGTTGTGAAGCCAACTTGTGAATAAACTGGACACAGAGAGAACTCACGCGTTGTCGTTGTCTTCTCAGTATTAAATGACTGTAAGGAATATCAACAGACATTACAAGTGGTAACCAGGGTAAATTAAATACTAAATCACAACGAATTAAACATTAAACATCAAGTCTCCCCCATTTCACATGAAGTAATTTTCTGGGAACATGCTGGGAACAGCAGTTTCAGAAATGTCAAAAGCAAAACAATATTATTTGTGTACTTAATTGCTTCACATTCATCCTGCATAATTGAATCCAGTAGATTGCACATATTAGAGAATTATATTAATCAAAAGCAAAGAAATCAAGAATTTTATTGTGTAGATCACAAATATGATTGAGTAAATCAGACAGTCTGTTTAGCCCATTTTGTCAAGGTGTTAATGCTGCTCAGAATGTGTTTGTTCTCCAAGCCTCTGAAAATGAAAGTCTTTATGTCACTCGTATGAGAAAATTTATTCGACTGAAACAGACCAAACCAATTGATGACATTATAGTAACTGCATGACTTCAGTTGTGTAAATTCTACTGTAATGTTAATGTAATGCTGTTCAGTAATCCACTCTTAGATGAAAAGGTTGGAGCTTCACATACAGTATAAACCATTTTAGAGGTTCTCATCATGGATCAGTTTATAGATGTAGTTTTAATTCAGTTATTATTTTGATTACATTTGATGAATTAAACCGCTTGTAAACAGACTTTATCACGAGCAAAAAAACATCCTTAGAAACTTTTGGTTACAATAAAATTGAGTCAAGAACCTTTGGAACCTATATAGAACCCCATTGAGCCTTTACGTTGGCATCATCATACGCTTCACTAGTAGCAAAACCATCCTGGGCTTTCCTAAAATCATTGCAGCCCAAGTAGATCATAGAATATAGAACTATTGGCAACCAACGCCTCTACGATCTACGCTTTTGGGAACCTCAGCCCTTTCCATTCAAGGCCTGTCTAAGTGAGCGTTAATAGTGATTGTACATTCTCATTTACAGGCGATGGTAAACATCTCATATAAAACTGTAACCCATATGGCGGTCACAGCATTGATTCAATTCCATTACTTTAGTTGTATAACCGTCATGACATGAGCAGGGCAATAGCTTTTCTGAAGCCGATCCTCTTAATTCATAAAGATGATAAGATACCCTCGTCCATCACTTTTATATCTCGCGGAAGAATACACAGCAGATTCAAAAACAATCAAAACAAGCTTGTGACATATTACAGCTCATTACCGGAACACTGCCCAAGAAAAGCACAGAAGTTTTGTAAATCACAGGGGACATGCTTAAGGAGAGCAAAATAACAATCTACTTGTCACATAGTGGCGCTTGTTATTCAATGTCGATTTAAAAGAACGAGAGCTATAATTTTGTGCAACATACCGTCGTTCCTCAGAAAGGAAAAGCAAAAATAATATATCACAGATAAATCATAGATTTTATTATAGCACCAGAGGCTATACAGGGATGTGACAAATAAAACACAGTATGGATTAGACGTACACAGACTCTGGGAAGAGGAAGAGTCATGCACTTCTGTTCCTACTAGCTTTCATCTTGATCTGTTTTGATGATAACTGGTATCTGGTCATGGACAAGGTTTTGGGAAGGAGTCGAACCCGAGTCATCACAAAACGGTTGACTCAGTGATCACCGGTGAAGCGTTTTAGGCTATGAGGTGGACGACTATTTGCGTGAGTTGTCGGCTTCAGTCCACCGAAAGCAGGAAAGGACCACAGTTCAACATACATTGGCCTTTTTTCAGTTAAAAACAAAAACGAGATATAATTAAATACTCCTCTTTACATATACACATTTGTGGCGCGAGAGCGTTTTCACTTACAAACATATAAAAATACTCATTAACTAGTCTGATAAGAAAATAATGTATAAAAGTATATAGTAAAAACATTTAATCATGTCCATTCAGAAGATCACTTCCATCTTTTTTCTTATATTACATGATGATAAAACACAAAAATTGAACAGTTTGAATCCCTCATACAGAAATGCACTCTGGAAAATAAATCGTGGCATGATGCAATAGTGAACCTTTAGAGTATGAAGGCAAGAAAAAAAAGATTGAAGTGTGAGACGTCAAACCACATTAAATAAAAAATAGTCTTGAGGGAATGTGGATGTCTAATGTATATTTTTTTGATGTCTAATGTATGATTTTTTTTTTTGCAGTTCAACTGTCCCTTTGAAACAGTAGTCACACTGTTTCAGTCACTTAAATACATTTCCAAACTGAAAAAAAAAGTGTAAAAGTGAATTGAAATGCAAGGTCAGAGAAAGACACAATTATTTTAGAGTCTACTTCTCAGAGTCATCAATCTTGGTGGGGTACCTAGTAGAGAACAGACAACCTATTGTGTTCTGAGCGTGCGGACATCGTCAGCACATTGTGAAAACACTGTAAATGGAGAAACCTGAGTCTGAAGATAGTCTGTAGAAATCGGAGCTGAGAGTCAGGAAGGCTTCAACAATCTGGCTACATGAAGAATACATTTCACAATAAAGATAGTTCAACCAAAGATGAAAATTCTCATGTCGTTCCAAATCTGTTTCGGGCCTAAAACAACATTGACGTTCAAGCTAAGCTAAGGACAAAAAAAAAATAAAAAAAATAGAAATAATTATATCCCCCTTTCAACGTGATTGTATAATAAAAATTACTGTTATTATCAAAATATTTTTATTTATTATTTTTTCATTATAAAAAATTAATTAATATTGTATTTAATATTATTAATATTTTATAATAATAAAATTAATAATTGTATTTTAAAGAACAACAGTAAAAATTACACTTCTAATATTTATGGCCGTCTTAATTTTTTTTCTTTTGTATGGACAAAAAAATGTGGTTTGTAACAGCTTTGGAACACATGAGTAATTTGGGCGAGTAAATGAATTTTCATTTTTAGGTGAATTATCACTTTGAAAGAATCAAATCCATACATGCCAAGAAGTCTTACAATGCAAACAAAAAAGACAAGGAAAAAAAAGGCCTCTTGATCAAACCAGAAGTTGGGAATCTGACTTCACTGCTGACAAAATTGGCATGTTAAAGGCTATGTACATAACATTAATGTGTTAATTCATGTCAAAACAAGCGGTTCAACCTCACACACGGTACTCTGCAACTGATTTTTGTCGTTATAAAGGTGGCCTCAACTCACACAAATCTTCAATTATGTACAATCGCTGCTTAGCATATGGAAGTAAAAACAGATATGGCATGACACACACACACACACATGCGCACAAAGCTTCAGAACATCACCTCACTCTAGATCGGTGACTAAATGTCCTCTGCAATCCCAATGGTGTTTCGTTTAGTCTTTCCGTCTCAGCAAAAGTACAAATGTCACAAGGCAAGAGGGAAAAAAATCCTTCAAAATACAAAAAAAAAAAAAAAAAAAAGGAATTGTGTGTGTTTTAAGGAGCGATGTTTAGTGTTGGGGGCACAATTACCATATTTTAGGTCACACTGATGTCAGTACTCTAGTTGAAGGTAGAATGGTGAGTTCGATCAAGATTTTTTTCAGTTTGGTTCTTCTAGTAGTGAAGTCCTAGAGGCACAAACGCCCCTGATAAGGCTATGAGAGACACTGCTGTTTTGAAGACATGCACACGTAGAAAGGCAGCGAGTTCATCCGCACAGGACGTGATGTCAGAAGGCAGGGTGGGGGGGCAGGGACTGGTGACAGCAGCTGGGTGAGTGGCGGCAGTGAGAGGCCAATTAGACAATCACACAATGGCAGCCGCTCTTATCCTTCTCTTTACGCGTGGGCTCCGGCGAGGGTGGGCACTCTTGCTCCTGGAACTTCCTGTGAGAGGATGTAACAATCAGACAATCATGTTTTACTCAGTGTACAAATTTTTAAGCTCAACTTAACATATGCCTTTACAAGTCATCCGAAACACATCTATTATTGTTAAACTAAAACTCCATTTTGGTCATAAAATCAAATGTATACAATGCTCAGTATGCACAATACATCATCCCTCAATGCAATATGCTTGATTTGCATTTCCAATGGTTTTCCATTATCAATCAGATCGGACTGTCAAAATGAAAGACATTTTTACAAATAAAATTGGATCAAAAGTGAATAAAATAACTAGATATATTTCTGAGGTGATAACTAAACAGTGCTTGCTGCATTAAATAAAGAACATAATAAGGTGATGTGACAACATTGTAGCATTATACAGATTGAAAGGTGTACTGATTTACACACTTGTTTTTCCAAAAACCTTATACTAGTATTCTATTCAGACCACAAGCCTGCTGTTTGAGTTCTGCCACCATCTGGTGGTTCCACAATATTGTATGAGAGACTCGCCTTATGACTCGAACCAACTCGTGGAAAGCCTGGTCTACGTTCATACGGATCTTAGCTGAGGCCTCCATGTATGTGACTTTGAGTTGTCGGGCAAGCTGCTGGCCCTCCTCCTGGGTAACCTGAAAAATGAACAGTCTTCAATTAAAATAAAAACATTTTAAAGCATATTTTTGCTTTTGGCTTGATATTGATTAAAACAGTACATCTTATAATATACGGATTGAAACATTACCTCTTATAAGATACTGATTAAAACAGTACCTCTTATTTACAGTAAGTTGCCATTCATAAAATAAAGGCAATTGATGCAATGAGAACGTTCTCCGTTCTAACACGAGGTGGCAGTGTAACACAGTCTGGGTGTCTTTCATTTGCAGAATGCACTCAGTAACCCTGTATCTTTTATTACCATCTCTCTCCTTAAAGGAGTAGTTCACTTTAAAAAAAAACTTTTGCTGATAATTTACTCACCGCCATGTCATCCAAGATGTCCATGTCATTCTTTCTTCAGTCGAAAAGAAATTAAGGTTTTTGATGAAAACGTTCCAGGATTTTTCTCCACATAATGGACTTCAATGGGAACCAAACGGTTCAAGGTCCACTGACAGAAATTATCAGCAAAAGTTTTTTTTTAAAGTGAACTACTCCTTTAACAGACACACACACTCTTTGTGATATTTTTCAGCCTTTTAGTGCTCTTCATTGATTATCAAGACACATTTCGTCCAGGTTAGTTCACCCCAAAATGAAAATTCTGTCAGTAATTACTCACCCTCATGTTGTTCCAACCCCGTAAGACTTTCGTTCATTTTCGAAACACAAATTAAGATATTTTTTTGATGAAATCTGAAAGCTGTATCACTCCTTCATAGGCTTCTAAGGGATTGAAACTTGCTGGCCCAGAAAAGTTAAAGACATCGTTAAAATAGTTTGAGTTACTACAGTGGCGCAATCTTAAATTTATCAAGTGACGAGAATAGTTTTTGTGCGCAAACAAACAAACAAAAATAACGACTTCATTCAACCATTCATTTCCTTCTCTGTGGGTTCACGTAGTGTAGTGAGTTCATGTAGTGTAACTGCACAGCGCTTCTGGGTTGTACGTCACACGCATCACACACATGACCAGCGTTGGCCAATAGAGAGCCTAAGTGTGACGTGCAACCTAGAAGCTTTGCGTTGTTTCACTACGTGAACTCACTCAAGGCCGATTGAGAAGGACATGATTAGTTGACTAAAGTCGTTATTTTTGTTAGTTTTTTTGCGCACAAAAAGTATTCTCATCGCTTGATAAATTTAAGATTGAGCCACTGTAGTCACTTGGACTATTTTAACGATGTCTTTAACTTTCTGGGCCGGCAAGTTTCAATCCCTTAGAATCCTATGGACTAGTATGGAGGAGCGAGACAGCTTTCAGATTTCATTAAAAATATCTTAATTTCTGTTCCGAAGATGAACGAAAGTGAGTACATGAGGGTGAGTAATTACGGACAGAATTTTAATTTTGGGGTGAAAACTATCGCTTTAACAGTCACATTGTGCTCTGGGTACTCCATGTATGTGTACAGTATGTAAATGTGTCATTTTAAAGCATAAACAAAATATAGACAGAGACTCTACAATGGATACAATAGTCATGCTATGATTTCAGAGGTAAAAAATGTTCATATCAATACTAATTCAGTGTAGCTTTCTGAAATCACAGTACTTGAGGTGATCATGCCACTCACTTGTCTCTGTTGCTCCAGATCAGCTTTGTTACCCACTAGAATCATGGGAAATTCATCCCGGTCCTTCACTCTCAAGATCTGTCGTTGAAACTTGTAGATCTCTTCAAAGCTGAGGAAAACAAGGCGATGCACGGCCATTAAAAAAGGTCCCAAACAAACAGCTTGAAACATGCAATGCATTTTTACACACACAAAGATCCTTCCTCAAGCCTACACCCCCCCTGTCATCACTTTCCTCCTGACTGGTCTTCAAACTATCTTCTTTTCTCTCAATGAGGTAGATGATGATGATGTTTGTTTTATTAACATTAATGACACAGACAACAGCAGGAATATTAGGCTGCTGTCACTTTAAGATTAATTGCATGGACGGAATATACCGACACACATCCGGTTTCTTTCTCAACTGTTCACTTAAGACAACCGAGAGAGTCCCGATCTTTGCCTCTTCTTCATTTGGATGTGTAAATTGGCAAGATAAAACGTGTCCAAATTATAAACTTTCACTCTACTTAGCAGTTAATCCGCTAATCATATGCATGCCGAACTGTGGGGCCTGGTCCGTAAATATATATATATATGAAGAGTTCAGATGCAAAAGCCTCTAAATGCCATTTGAAATTTTCTTCTTTAATGATGATTTTTATCAAACTTGTATATTTAAGTTCAGTAATTTCACTTAAATAACAATTAATAGGTAATTATCATTGCCATTTAAGTGAAATCACTGAACTTAAATATACAAGCTTGATAAAAGTGATCATTCTAGAAGAAAATTTCAAATGGCACTTAGAGGCTTTTGCATCTGAACTCTTCATATATATATATATATATATATATATAAATTGTTCAAAGTAGAGACAAAAGTTTTAGGACACTTTCTCATTCTTTAACGTTGTGTAAAAGTGGTTATTTTGCTAAGACACCTGGTGTCAACTTGAGGGGAAGTAATAAAAAAATCTTAAATAAAAAAAATAAAAAAATCTTCATATTGGCTGATAACCTCAGTGGTACCATATCATGCATCCCTAGTAAGGCATTTTCAGAAATAATGAAATGAAAGTAGACGCATGCACCCACAAAGCGGAGCTCTTCCTAAAAGTAATGCAAGCCCACCCTTCCAGCTGATGAGCAACTATCTCTCTCTGTTTTGGGCCACAGAACTGCATTACAGTACACAGGATGACACAAGGTCACTCGGTTCTCATGCCTTTCCAATAAACTTTCCAGTAACGCTGTAAAACGGCTAGAAGCCATCATATGGAGAACAGTGTGTGTGTGTGCTGGGAGGAAGGACATTGATATGAGGTCTCTGTTGATTCTAACAGTTCGAGCAGTTTAAATGTCATGCAGGAGGAGGAAGTGCTTGTCATGGGCTCTGGAGAGACAGCGAGATTGTGTGTTCAGAGAAGCCGGTGCCATCGGCTCTGAGCAGGGTAATGTCAACGAAGGAAGGAAAGACTGTTTACAGCATAAACACAAAGTGGGAAGGACCCTAAACACTCCCAAAACGGCTGAACCCACACCAAATTCCTCGAGCATACACACTGCAATGTGTGTGTGAGATCTGTTTATTTGCATGTGCTGGGTTTCACTCAGACTAGGGATGGGACGATAACCGGTTTCACTATAAACCGTGATAAAATGTACTGACGGTTAGTATTATCGTTTAAAATTTAATTATCATTAAAACCGTGTTTGATTAGCGCGATTTTAATAACTCACTGAATCCTGTCGGCCAGTCTGACGCAGGCGCGCAGCATGCAATATTTTTTTAAATTACTATTCGAGAAGGAATGGTGGAAGGCAGTGACCGTGCTCAGGAGATTTTACAACCTTTTAAGAGGACCAAATCTGAGGTGTGGTCATATTTTGGGTTTTACAAAAGTCCTGAGGGAAACTTGATCGAGGATGGTCACCTTGTCTGCCGAACAAAAAGTCACTGCAATAGAAACACTTCAAATCTGCCGAGTCGTCTTGTGTGATCATCACCCGAACGCAAGGCAAGTTAACTTTGACCTCAATACCAAAACTACGTCTGGGAAACAATTGGGCACGAAATGTTGTTTTGAGTTGAAACATTTTATGTCACTCACTTGAAATAGACGTGAAGCTTCCGCGAAGAAAAGTTCGTAGCAAGTGGATTTGAGCCAAAGACGAACGAACAACTTCAAACAAGACTATTATTAAGAGTGATATTTTAAGGGATAGTAAAGTATAGATACATCACGTATTAAACCGATTTTATTTTTACCAAATAATTACGGGGACATATTGAATTGATAATAAGATTAGCTAATGTTTTAAATCTTACCTGTTTATGAATTCATTTTGTAAAACAATCGTCCAGACAAGATATATCACACCAATATTATCAAACTCTGTAAGCAATAAATCAACTCTGATTTCATTTTTGCAATACAATCAAAAACCGGAGACGCAAGACGGCAAGTTGTATTTGAATGAAACAAGAGCGCACGTCCGTTGTGATATGGATGTGCGCTGTGTAATAATGCGTTGCTATTGACGACGGGCATTATAAAGAAGCAAATGCCATAGAATAGAATCTTGCCTAAAAAACTGCATAGAGAGGCTTGTTTTATTAGTTTTTTTTTGTTGATTTTCAATTATAAAACTTGTTGAAATGTTTTCAGTGTGAGCATCAGTTCTTTTTGAGCACTTTCATAAATTTTTAACAAAACCGTGATAATATCCCAGATAGCAAACTGACATTGAATCAACGTGGAAATATGACATCGAAACAACGTTGATCTGACATTGTTTTGCTCATCGAATTAACGTTGAACCAACGTCAGACGCGTCATTCTTTCAAAACTAACGGAAAATCAACTTGAAATCAACGCGTTGTTTCAACGTTATGAAAGTAAACCAATTTTCGATTTCATTTAGCTTTGAAGAATGCCGCGTCTGACGTTGGTTCAACGTTAATTCGATGAGCAAATCAACGTTGTTTCAATGTCATGAGAGACGTCGTTTCCACGTTGATTCAATGTCAGTTTGCTATCTGGGATTGATAATCACGATTATTTTGGACACTATAATCGTGATATGAAATTTTCATACCGTCCCATCCCTAACTCAGACAAAACCTGGGGCAATAAATTAGCAAGCCTCTAATTTTACAGTTATAGAGAATGTGAATGAGTGAAGGAGGGAAGGAGGGAGGGGGGCATTAATAAAAATGGAAAGACAAAAACAGAATGAAAGTGAAACTGAGACAGACAATGTAGGGGAAAGGGGAAGAAAGAGAGAAAGTTGAGAGAAAACGTGAGTAGAACATTGCTCACCTTCCTCGGTCAGTGACGGAGAAGACGAGAAGGAAGCCCTCCCCTGTCCTCATGTATTGTTCTCTCATGGCTCCAAACTCTTCCTGTCCTGCTGTGTCCAGGACTAACAAACACAGAACATCCATGTTAGTCACCCACAGACTCACTTTAGCCATATCACCAATGTAGGTTTGATTACAAGTGTTTTCATTATGTAAATGATCTTCCATTATATTCATATTTCTTTATCTTTGGCTTAACGTCGTATATATGGCAATGTTTACGCAGTGTTTAGGATTGACAAGTGTGTTTACTAACAGGTGTGATTCTCCAACAGCAGATTGAATAATTTATGTATGAATGTAACAAAAGTCAGCCCCCTTCTTTTAACTTACAACAGCCTTGAGTGATGCCAGTAATCAAAGGCCTCGTTTGTTTTCATGATCGGATCGCATTATATGACGAACAGATTGAATTTCTTCACATATAAACATTGATCAGCGAACATAAACAGAAGCTCGACTGAACAAATCTCATGTGGAAGCTCAAAAGTGCTGCATAACACAAGAATGAACCTCACTGGTTTTGAGGAAGTTCAACGGTCTGCGTTACACACGAGAGAATGAGCCTCATTGGTTCTCGCACGTCAAGCAAATGCGCTTGAGCTTCAGTTTACCACAACTGATGAGGTTGTTGATAAATGTTTATATGGAATAAAGGCCTAAATTATATCCAATCCTCATATAAAGCAATTGTGTCTCTTCAAAAAATGTTTAACTAAACCACTCAATTCATACGGAGTAGTTTTACGATCTCTTTATGAACTTTTTATATCAAAGTGATAGTTGTGTAGCTGTCTATGGAGAGTGTAGAAAGCTCTTAGATTTCATCAAAAAAGATCTTCATTTAGTCTTACGGGTTTGGAACAACATGAGGGTGAGAAATGAATGACATCATTTTTATTTTTGAGTGAACTAACCCTTTAAACCCTGTCCCTATATGCTCACATTCATCTGCCTCCATTTTTAAGTGGAACACTCTCATCTAAAAATCCAATCAACAACCGGTGGATAGAACCAAGTCCAAGTTTTTTTACATGAAGCAATCGGATATTGTGATATTTTAATTTTACAAGTATGCATAATGCACAGGGGCCGTATTCACATAGAATTTTAAGGCTTAAAGTAGTTCCTAACTGGCAAATTTAGAAGCAACTCCAAAAAATAATGGGCGTGTCATTCCTAACTTTAGGACTTTAGGAGAATTTTTTCACTAAGAGTAATTCATGAAGCATTTCAGCCCTAAAAGTAGCACCTAAGTCTGGAACAGCTTAAAAGAAGTCGAGAGGACTCCGAACTCACTAAGACCTATTCAACAAAGGATTGTAGCGCATACCACCACCTCTCGCAGTCGTCCGAGGTCCGCGATAAGCGGGAATGCTGAATTGATCTTTAAACACAGATATCAAGTTTGAATACTGAATTGATATCAAGTTTTGCTTGATATCCCAGTGCCGAATTTCACTTTATTATGTTTTTTTTTTTTCTTTTTCCACCAACTGGGCCAGCAGCAGTAACTGATCCTGCGTCCGGCTTTCTTTTCCGTTTTGGCAAATTCATAATCCACCGACATTCAACTATTACATTACTTCAATAGGAGCAACATTTCCTTGCTTTAAGTAGTCTATATAGGCTAATATGATGTCAATTAACCAAGCAAGTGTTAATGCAAATGTCATTTTTCATTAATAGGCAAGTGGCAGTTTTCATTAGGGTATTAGGCTACCTTGATTTAATTTAATTGAATTCACGACTTCTTCTCTCTCTCTCTCTCTCTCTCTAACAACCAATCTAACAACCAAACAACCAATCACCGTGATCATTGCGAGGTAAGCTTGTGCATGAGAATTGACGTCATCCATAGCAACGAAGACTCACTCTTAGTTTAGGAGTTGTCATTTTTCCTTACTAAGAGTACGTCTGAAAGGCGTTGTGAATATTTTAGTGCGATTTAGGAGTACTCCTAGTGGTAAGATAAAATTCTTTGTGAATACGGCCCCAGAACAATAACAAAATGCACCAGTTTCTCTGTAATGTATCTGATCTCTATTATGTACAATCACATCATAAGGTGCTTCATCTTTACTGCCGGTTGGCAATATGTTGTTTCCCTACATCCTGTGTGATTTGTTTGACAATCAGTCTCTCTCATCCATCTGTGGCATACTTACTGTCCAGCCTCGCAGGCCTATCGTCAATCACACACTGCTTTGTGTAGGAGTCTTCAATCGTGGGGTCATAGTCAGTGACAAAGTATGACTAAACACAAAAAGAGAGAAAATATAAAAACAAGAAAGGTTAATAATATCACATGAGATTCAAAAAGCGCAGTATGAGGCGCTAGGAAGGCATCAAGACACGTCCTAATTCAATGTTTGTGTTGCATCCTGTCTCCCAAAATACATTAATCTAGTGGTATTCTGATAGTATAGATGTCCCTTCACAGCATATAATATCCCACAGTCCAATGCGGTTTGGCGGATAGTGAAATGAATAAATAAAACAGTTGTAAGAATTTTGCTTTATGGCTCAATTTCTACCAAGAAATAAGCTTTGTAGTCACTTGAATTCATTTAGATCATTACACATGAAGTTATTGTGCCTTGGAAGCTTGTTTGAAACCAGTTTTCCTTTTGAGGAACTTTCATACACAAACATCACTAACTTCAGCTTTGATTCAGGGATCTACATGCATAAAAGAGCACTTGTTTTGAAAGCTATGCTAAATGAGGGCTTATACTCATAACACAACCCAACAGACAAACTGTTCTGTCTCTTCTGAAAAATGGAAAAAAGACATCCGCCCTTCTGTGTACAGTGCAAACACAAGACTTTCATGTCAACATTATTTGTGTGGCCCTCCGTTTGGGGTTGATAATTACGGTTAATTAACCACAAACTTATTTTGTTTCCACAGGCTGTTTCCATGCTAATCTGAACACGGTATCAGTGTGTAATGAAAGGGGGAGTTGTAAGGAGGCATTTTTCACATTTTTCCAATATTTTCTGTGCCTCCCCTCCCAGGAGGCTGTTTAAGTGACGGCAGCTGAACGTTATGTTCAGGCTTGTCTTTGTGTCAACTGAACACATGCTCATGCTCACACACAACAATGCCAAAGCAGTAGTTTCCTATTTTAAGTTCGACTATTGATGTTCCTGTAACCGCTAGTCGAGTAATCTGTTTTTAGCAGCGAAACGAGAAGCACTCCAAAAATGAGAATAGAGCTCTGTTCTCCTTTCTGCGTCAACCATTCACTGAGGATAGTTTTAACTTCTGAAAGAGAATATAAATCTATACACCAAAAGATATAAATTGCACAAGATATTAAGACTTTTCAAAGCACCTCCTGTATACTACTGTACTATTATTTTAAATAATTCATATAATTTAGAAAATAGTAGTAAAAATGAGTAAGTTACTTCTGACTGATGGTATATACACCCCAAAACAAAAGTGTTGGGTCAGTAAGAAAGTCTCTTTTAATTACCGAGGCTGCATTTATTTGATCAAAAATACAGTAAAACAGTACTATTGTGAAATATTATTATAGCAATTTTAATACATTTTAAAATGTAATTTATTACTGTTATGGCAAAGCTGAATTTTCAGGAGCAAGAAACATTTTTTTTATTAGCAATGTTGAAAACGTTCTACTTTTTAAAAAAAAAGATACTTTGATGAATACAAAGTTAAAAACAACAGCTTTTATTTTAAATAAAAGCCTAATGTAACAATATAAATGTATTTGCTGTCACTTTTAATCAGTTTACTTTCACTGGTGGTATATCAAATAATTAATAAAATAAAATAAATTATTAACTGACCCCAAACATTAGGACTAGTTTTTTAGGGGGACGTTAGAGAAATTCATGTTTAATACTGTCCGAATCTGACATGTCTGTTTTTTCCTCACACAACCTCAGTAAAAATTCCAGGGGAAATTACGTACTGTTTTTCTACAAACTCCTCTGGGAAATCAAATCCTGTCCAAAAGTGAATATCAGTGATTGCTGATGTTGTATTATCCTAACTCATGTGTTTTTGACCTATACCTAAGCTACTGTTTGCGCACCAATCTTTGCCATGCTTTCATGGCATAGCATGCACCTTAAGATGAAGTTCTCAAGGTGAATGCATACTGTGACACAATCTTGGTGTGTCTCTAGAGTCAGACCAGTCATGTCAAAGCAATAACTAAATCAGCATGCTATGCTTTGTTTCCAATCATGACCTAGAGAAACTTGTTCATGCTTTCATCACCAGCACGGTGGATTACTGTAATGGACTCCTCACTGGCCCTCCCAAAAGGACCATAAGACAGTTGCAGCTCATACAGAACGCTGCTGCCCAGGAATCTAAACAGGACCAGAAAATATGAACATCTCACACCAGTCCTCATGTCTTTACACTGGCTCCCAGTTTTACGATTAATTTTAAAGTATTATTACTAGTATATAAATCATTCAATGGGCTAGGACCTCAATATAATGCAGATATGCTCACTGAATATAAAACTAACAGACCACTTAGATTATTTGGATCACATCAGCTAGAAATACCAAGGGTTCACTCTAAGCATGGAGAGTCCGCCTTTAGCTATTATGCCAGCCACAGCTGGAACCAGCTTCCAGAGGAGATCAGATGTGCTCCTACAGTAGTCACATTCAAATCCAGACTCAAAACACTTCTGTTTAGGTGTGCATTTACTGAATGAGCACTGTGCCACTGTTTGTCCGACTTTATTTTTTTATTCTAAACTGTTTTAATTATTCTTATTTCTTTTGACTATTTTAATTTCTTCCATGTAAAGCTCTATCTGACGAAAAAAATCGCGTAAACTGCAAAGACTGACAATTTTAATATCAGTGTCATGTAAGAGTAATATACTTGTCTAGATTTCTCTGCTCACTTATGCAAGTTTATTATAAACAGCCACTGCTAAAAACCCTTGAAGTTTACAATAGTTTATGTTAGGGCTGTCAAACAATTAATCGCATCCAAAATAAAAGTTTGTGTTTACATAATATATGTGGTTGCACTGTGTATAATTATTTTATATACTGTATGTAAATACACACACATGTTTGTATTTTCCTACTCACTTATCTGAAAACAGGGATTCCCGCCCTAAACGGACAAGTTTTCAGATTGGCTTGTGCAGGCTGTGGTCAGATTCTTTGGATGTCACAGAGACATGTGATATCACAAGACACCTATTTTCAGAGATAACTCTCAGGTATGAGGACATTTTCCAGAGGTCTATTCCAAAAAAAGCTTTAAAAAGAATAGGATTATTTGCAATGTACTTCTACAACAAGTGCATCTAAAGTACATTTGCAAATGTTTTTGACAGTGAGCAAATGCAGCATGAGCATTGACATAAAGGAGTCTGTAACCACTCGCTCTCTTTTCTTGACATCAGTCATCCTTTCACACAGTGGCTCCTCTGTATGCACTGCGTGCAAGACTCCATCACGTCCACTTTCCACTGTTCAATAATTCATCAGCAGTGCTGCATATGCAGTCGACTTCATCGCTCACTCGTCGCAGTGGGGATACGCAGACGCAGAATGAGGTGAGAGAGAGCAAGACAGATGGATAGACAGAGAGAATACCTGCAACTATTTCCAACAAACTCACAATATTTTAAGCACCTTGCATTTCAGTCACGCACATTAAAACAGAACAAGGCACCTGATTTTGTGACAATGCTACAAACGATTGAGAGTGGAAGTGACACCTTAGATTGATGAGTAAGATAGAAAGTGAGCTGAAAAACATCAGTCTGCAGCAGGTGATCAGACCAAACAATTAGTCATGATGCAACATGGGAGCTCTACGGAAGCCCTGAACTGCGCAAAGTAAAAAAAAAAACAATCTGTAAAAAAAATAAAAAAATAAAATAAATCTAGCATTTCGAGATTGAAGTGTGATTAAACTGTTTTGAGATTTAAGTCTAATTTTTTTTTTAGATTAAAGTCGATAAAGTCGAAAAATTTCTAGATTAATGTCGAAACATTTCGAGAATAAAGTCAAAACATTACGATAATACAGTCTAATCAGAAATGCACTTGTCAAGTCGAACTGCCATGGATCAACACAAAATAGTAGCTTTGTACTTTTATCTGGGCTTTCAACAAAATTCTACACAGGTGGTGGTGTTTTCGTGCTCGCCTAATGCTGGAAGATTGGCACCTGTTGAATTTCCTTTTGTTTTTGAAACAAAACACACACACAAACACACACACACACACACTGACTGAAACACTCACTATGCACCATTATGAATGCCTGTGTGTGCGGCAATGTGAAACAATGGCAAGAACACACGCAGCTTCTACGGAAGACTGTATTCTTGTACTCTCAAAATATTTCGTCTCGAAATGTTTTTTATCTCGAAATGTTTCTACTTTAATCTCGAAAGGTTTCGACTTTAATGTCAAAAAGGTTTCGACTTTAATCTCGAAAAGGTTTCGACTTTAATCTTGAAATGTTTCCACTTTAATCTCAAAATGTTTCAACTTTAATCTCGAAATGTTTCGACTTTAATCTCGAAATGTTTTCACTTTAATCTCGAAATGTTTTCACTTTAATCTCGAAATGTTTCGACTTTAATCTCGAAATGTTTTCACTTTAATCTCGAAATGTTTTCACTTTAATCTCGAAATGTTTTTACTTTAATCTCGAAATGTAAATGTTTCGACTTTAATCTCGAAATGTTTTCACTTTAATCTCGAAATGTTTTTACTTTAATCTCGAAATGTAAATGTTTCCACTATAATCTCGAAATGTTTCCACATCTCGGAATGTTTCCACTTTAATTTCGAAATGTTTCCGCGATAATCTCGAAATGTTTCCACTTTAATCTCGAAATGTCTCCACGATAATCTCGAAATGTTTCCACTTTAATCTCGAAATGTTTCCACTATAATCTCGAAATGTTTCCACTTTAATCTCGAAATGTTTTGACTTTAATCTCGAAATGCAAGATTTTTTTTTTTACAGTTGTGGTTCAGGGCTTCCGTAGAGCTCACACATTCCACAAAGTTTTCTGAAGAGCAATATCTTTCAGAACTTCACTGCCATACTGCCACGCAAATGCCGTACACACAAACATACTCACACACACACACAAAAGCGTCTACATTTTGTAATTACAAAAATACAGTAATTACAATACTAATTGTAAAATATGATTGTAATTTAAATATATTTTCTAATTTAATAAATGTTTAATTGAACTTTATTCCAGTGATGG